CATGCTTCTTATTTAGACAGGATCATTGCACACCAGTGAAAGTACATGTTGCTAATAGGCTTTATATGATGCCTTTACAATGTCAGTGTTAATAATTGCAGTGCTTTCAGACTCTTATCTTCATTGTTACTTCATCATTATTTTTTTTTTTTAAGGAGTGCTGCATGCTTGTATAGTAGTTCACTGTAAGTATTCTATCAAAACTTTACAGGAACTGTGAAAGTCAGAAAGCCTCGATTTGATGCATCCTTGGTTTATTTGACCCGAAAATTCATGGATCTTGTCAAAACAGCTCCAGACGGTGTTCTTGATTTAAATGAAGTAGCAACAACACTTGGAGTACGAAAACGAAGAGTGTATGACATCACCAATGTGTTGGATGGAATCCACTTAATTCAGAAAAGATCTAAGAATCTTATCCAGTGGGTGTGAGTTGGCTTTGAAACTTCTGATTTCTGAAAGAATGAAACCCAACAACATTGAGTAATGTTTATATCTTTGATAGTATTTTTAAGCATACTGAATTACCTTTAATATATAACAATATTTTAAGTTCTGCTGTATCCTTAAGCTTAATTACTGTGCTAACAATTATCAAGTGCAAAAGCACACTGAAGCATATTTCAGCAAAGTATCCCAGAGTTCCTGGTTGTTTCTGTTAGTATACTTTGTATTCAATAAACAGGCTCATATTTATATAAACATATTAGACAACTTCATGTTTTTCTAGAGGTTCTAGTCTTGACCAAGTTGTTGGAAAAGCACCAGAGCAGCAAACACTTAAAGATGAACTTTCTGACTTGTCAGCCATGGAAGAAGCTCTGGATGATTTAATCAAGGATTGTGCTCATCAGTTATTTGAACTAACAGATGACAAAGAAAATGCAAAATATCCTTTTATCTCTTGCATTACTTTAACGTGGTTTCTGTTGCAAGTACTTGGGTATCTAGTAATAACTGTAGGCTGGTACCACAGGTGTGCAGTAATACTTGATAATGAGTTTTTACGCTAGGAAACCTTGTGGTTATGTTGTATTAGTGCATACTAGTCAGGTGCCCTGCTTTACAGTATCATACGTAATCTAGCCTGTTCTCAGGGAGCCCGTACTTGTGTGACCTTTCCACTGCAGAAGAATGGAAGTGGGGCGGTAGTCTTAGTACCCTGACCATCAACTTGTTCTCTCCATTATAGAATAAAGCTGACTATGTGTCAGGTCTTGACTTACCAGTGAGATTGAGTTGCTTAGTGAGATGAGAAAGAGGACCCAAAACAGAGTCCCAGTGGCCAGTTCCCAAGAAGATACAATGGTACGTTGGTTGTGTCCTAATACTGTTCTGTCTCTTGAGAGTGGTTCCAGTGCAGTCTTGTCTTTCAGATGGGCTTTGATAATTGAAAAGGCATTTCTTTTAATATGATATAAACACTGGATTTTTGGCTTGGCTTACAATAAGATGCTCTTTGGCTACCTTATGTAGCAGAATGTTAAGGCCCGTGCTCAAATGAAACGTGCCCATTTTCTTTATGATACCAGGAAAACTTTTCATTACCCCTTACCTATCTTGGTTAAGACAAGAATCCTGTAGTTTTCTAGGGAATTGTTTATGTGCATAGTTATTACAAAACAAAGTAGTTTCTCAAGGACAGTATTCCCTCTGCTTTGTGTACTTAATGACCATATCTGTGAAAACTGCTTATCAAATATGTGTGGTTTCTTAATATTGAATATTTTCATTTTTTTTTAAAGCTCTTTTCTTCCTATAAATAAAGAAAAAAGATCTTCCACTTGTTAGCTAATAGTTTTAGAAAGCCGGTATTAAAGTAACCTCAGCTGAACTATTTACCACTTTTCTTAAGATATGTTGAAGCAGAATATCAACTTAATATCATACTCTTTGCTTCTGCCCACTAGCAAATTACTGTACAGGATCCTTGACCAATGTATACACTAGCTTATGTGACATACCAGGATATCCGTAGCATTCAGACATTTCAAGAACAGATTGTGATTGCAATCAAAGCTCCAGAGGAAACCAAGTTGGAAATACCAATTCCTAAAGAAGTAAGTTTTGCACATTTCTCTCTTAAGGGAACAGAATTTCTCAAATGTGATTTTTGCAGCAGCATTCAGTAATTGTTTTCTGGTTTCTTTGTCACATACAGCAAATATTGGTACTTCATTGTTCTTGTTTCACTAAATAATGCTGTAGGGCTGGTAGTCCAAGAAACTAATTTGCAGTATTTTTCTGCTCACCTAAATTGTTAAACAACATGTCTGAGCTTTAGTTATATGTTTTTTCTAGAGAGAATGGACCAGCTGTAGTAAAAGTTACTTATTTCCACTACCAGTTTGCTTGATAATTACTAGGATAATGAAACTTCTGAAGAGCTGGTAAATGTTTGTATGCTAACATTTACAAATACTGTAAATCTCACTAAGCAAAACAGTAAGCCTGACTTGATAATGATCTTAACAGCGTAGAAATGCTTAATGAGTAGATGGCTATTGTTAGTATAATAATAAAGTATGAAATGCACAGTATGGTTACCAAAAGAAAATCTTTTGGTACTCTAATAGATCATGTCAAGATAGATTTTTCTTGGAGTTTGAGGGCCACTCACCATCCTCACCTCATGGTACCACCCACATCCTCCCACTTGGGTCATGCAGGGGAGCCTTAGCTTTGACCTCTGCACCCAGTCACACTGCAGCTGCATCAGGGATAATGTACTGGGAACACACTGTTTAAAGGAGTGCTGTGAAAGAGAGGAAATACTGTAAGTAAGCTTAAAAAAAAAGCAGCTTTAATTCTGGTTTCCTTGTGTGCATGCATCTTCTATACTGTTCTTAACTGTGTAGTCATCAAATTTGCCTTGCTGTGTGCACAGAAAGGGAGGTAATATTGTAGGAAAAGGAGATACGAATCAATAGAACCAGAAGATGTAGATCCACTGCATAGATCTCCAGGGGTTTCACTGTAAAAGGAGCTGGTTGTCATCCTATGAAGATGGAAAATGACAAGATTTCAGAGGCTTCCTGAAGCAAAAGAAGGCAGCATTTAAAAAGCTGTATTTTAGAGAGAAGAGAATCTTCTCTCTGGTCCATTAAATTTGATTAGCTGTGTGCCTTGCAATGTGACATCTACTGAAGAACAGTAAAAGTAATCCAGTTCTGTTGCTTTGCCATATTATGAAAGGCGCTGTGTGCTCATTTGTTTTCTGACCCTTGGCACTGACTTGTCAAGTATTTTGTCAAATTGTGTTACTCTTCTTAAGCATGTTGTAAATCTTGGTCATATATCTAAAGGTCTGTAAAAAGACTAAATAGATTCATTAAGTGCATGTTCATCCAAAGTGAAACCTTTTTAACTTGATGGTGCTTAATAATCTGCCTGCAAATCTATGTAATAGTCATAATTTATGTAGCACTTGTAATGAAATTTTAAGTGGTAATGGCATTCTTTATTCTTCATCCACTGGCTTTGATATATATGCAGAAATAGATAACTGATGCATATAGACTAAAGAACAAATTTTACACAAGTTGCTGTTTTGTAGGACTGCATAGCGGTACATGTGAAGAGCACGAAAGGACCTATTGATGTGTATCTGTGTGAGGTGGAACCAGAGAAGCCAGGTGCCAAAACTTTTGAAGATACAGATACAGTCACTTCTGAAACTGAGCCCGCAGGTCCTCCTGATGAAGGTAGTGTCCTTGAGTTACACTTTTATCCCCATTTAATATTTTCTTTAAAGATGGTCATACCGTTCTGATAAAGTTGAAGACTGTACTGCACAAGTGTAATTTTCTGAGCATAGTTTATGACCAAGATGTGTAGGAGTAAGTGAGATGCCTAAAAGAGGACTCTGTACTGTTGGGTCGGCTCACAGCAGCAGGAGGTTAGAGCACAGGGCATGTGCACACGCAGCAACGCACTCTTCTACTGTGACCCTTTTCTTCCTTTGCTTGTTACTGGTTTCCTGCCTGAGCTGTGCTCTCCAGATGGAACAGTGTGTGTCAGTTCTCGGCTGCCTCACTGCAGAGTCCAGCAGCTCGCTGATTGCCATAAGAACTAAGATGCTGTTTCAAACAAGAGAGTGTGCTGCTCTTGCTCATTGCTGCCCTGTCTAAGGGAGGGCCAACAGATGGGAGGTGGTATTTTGATCTCCCAAACCAAGATTGGCTGGAATATTGCCTCTCAGGAGCCCCAGTGCTGCAGGATGTTGTGATTTAAAAATAAACATGGCAGGAATTGCAGTAGCTCAGAACACAAAAGATAAATTATTTTTAGCAGTGCTGCTTTATAGTTGAGGGGAAGACCTCACTTTTTAGTCTTAAGCTTTTTTTTTTTTTTTTGGTGGTCTTTTTTTTACTTTATTTTGCTTGAAAAATGGCTCGCTTTTATTTCCTACAGCAACACTAATCATACTCCTTTTTTTTTTTTACTTTCCTTTCAAAGTGAGATCTCTGGGGGAAGAAGAAAAACCACCTGAGCTGACAGATTAGTTACAACTCAAAAACCTAATAGGAAATGTAAATATCTGTATTATAGAGCTGCTCCAAAGCTTCTTGGATCTGCAAACTTACTGACCTGAAATGTTCAAAAGTGAAGTGCTTTCACAGGATTGCTCATCTTCCCAAGTCAAAGGAGGCCAGTTCCTAGAGTTGCTTTTAGGAGCTTTGTTTTCATAATTGCATGTAATCTACACACCTTTGGGAAAATGGTATTTTTAGCTTATGAAATAATTGAAGGAAAATATAGGCAATTAATTACTTCTAAAAATGACAATATTTGGAAGGATCCACAATCCTTGTGAGAATGTATATAATAAAAGCACTTTTCAGTTCTGAGGTTGCACTGCTACTAAGCAGGATTGTTGGATGTGAGAGTAATAAAGAACTGATGTATCAGAAGCCTTCACTATAAGGAACGCGATGTAGACGCTGTTTGCATTGTTTGCATCCAGCTCTCCATGCAGGAGTGGTATGAACTATATGACCTGTGGTATGAACACTGAAGTTAAGTAACAGCTTTTTGTATATATCTGTACCATGTCTGTGTAGTTACTGATGTAGATTTGTTGAGATAGTTTGCATTTCTGCCTTTGTACAGCAAAGAAATAAAATAAGCTTATAAAAATATTACATAGTGTAATCAGTCTACTGAGATGTGTTGGGTTGTCTTTGACAGAACTCACTGGATAACTACTAACTCAAATCGATGTGGAACTTTGAGGTCTGTTAGACGTGGTGCTGGCAGCTAGCAGTTAGATCTGATTCTTTTGATGCCACAATACTGTAGCAATTATCAGAAGAAACATGATGATCGACAACTACTTAAATTGGTCTCTTCCAGTTTCTAGAGTTTACATACAGCATAACTTTAGCCTACTACCATTATCTTTGTGTCTTCAGCTGGCAAAAATCTGTACAGTACTTGAGAACCACATCTGTATTCATCCATCTTTAGTATCTGTAAAATGAAGCTTCATCATTTTGGTACCATTATTTTAAAATGATATAACTGTTGCCATACAAATGTTGTATGGAAAAGTGAACTTCATTGTTCTCTGTGTGGGGAGGAGTGGGTGGTGGTTTTTGAATTGGAACTTCAAGTCCTTGTTTTCCCAGACACACAGTATTAACAACTATTCATCTACTCACAGGTGGAAGCAACAAAATTAATAAAGCCCTGAGGGTTTTAACCAGCAATTCTACGACTATTTTAGACAGATGCTGTGAAATTAAATGCCCAGTGTGCTACTGTACAAATAAGGTAGGGCAGTTGGCACTGAAGAGCTTAAATATGCCTAAATACAGATTGATTGTTTACCTGGTTTTCTACAAGGTTCATGAGTTCCCCAGAATGCTTAGCATTACACTGTGTGAACTGGGAAATGCACCGAGTGTGAGCTTGTGTCAGGAAGTAATCTTGACTTTGTGTATGTGTGCTGCTGCTCGCTGCAGAATACAGGACTTCAGCATAGAGTGCTATTTTTCTGCATCTCTATAAAACGCAAACTATAGGCTGAGCTGTTACAATAATAAAAGCAAAGTGGAAGCATGTTTCATATGCAGATCACAATAGAAATGGGGAAGGTGTTCCTCAAGTGGAGCTGCAGCAGGGGTTAAATGACATCTTTCTGCAGGAGAAGGTTGTGCTGCTCTTTTAAAGCTGGCTTCTGGCTAGGTGGCAAAGGAGCTGTTTGATTTTTTGCACTGCTGTTCTGTATTGGTTGGGAGAGAGGTCAGTGCCTAAGGGAAGCCTGGATCCCGCTACTGTGGTTCAACAACTGGGGCTAATATTTTCTGTGAAACATGTAAAAATTCCCAGCACCAAAAACTAATCCCAAATACTGTGCCTAGGGGCAATATTTTGTTCACACTTTTTACTTAAGTTACACAATTAGCCCAGTGAAATTGAATAAGCTGCAATATGGCAGTTATAACTATTTTCTTAAATACATTTATTGTCTTAATAGTGCACCTTTAGCAGAACAAATGGACTTTTGAAGGCTAAACCACTTTGTTGTTACTACTTGGATACAGTATTATGTATTTGCAGTACTGGAAAACAAGGTACTATATGAGGTCAATACACTAGCTGAGAGAACTGGACTTGAGGAAAGGTTCCTGAGTTATGCTGAACTTAAATAAAAGTTATGAGCTCACTTCAAAGATAAATGTGATAGGGCCTTACTCTGAATCTGTATTATAATCCTTAATTTTTTTTCCTGAAAGGTTCTGAAAGATTATTTTTGATGAGTTCATATCTGTCCATTTTCAACATATTTGTATGTGTAAGCACTTCACTCAGCTGTTGGAGGACTCTGCCTGTAATAAATGAAAAAGCTCTAATAACGTTTTTGTCTTCCCTTCAATACGAATGGCTGAGCATCTGAATGCCTTAATCAGCAGCAGCAACAGCCAGGATCTGTCATTATAAAATGGTCAGGGTTTGCTGACTCTTTATCTGGAACAAACACCACAAGTTGCCAGTTCAGGCGGTGTTTGGTATGGGAAATGACTTGTCAGGGGTTTCAGATGTGAACTGCAGTTTTTAAATAACGTGATTTGTAAAGAAGAAGGGAGATTGCTTTAAATTATTGTCTTTTAGAAAGCACTTGTAAGACAGCAAATTCCTTCCTTTGAATAATCTTTTTGCTGAGTGTGAAGAGCCTCATTTAGAAGCTTAAATTACACTGACCTCAGAAGTCACTTTAGCTCTTGCTGTTTTCCAAGGTGAAGTTAGCCTGCTTGCTGGTGAGTTGGCTGAGCCTGCAGAGCTGGACTGGCCTGCAAACCACATGCGCTCCCCAGCCTGGCTTGATGGGCCAGCTTCAGCACTGCACTGGGACTCCGCTGACTGCTGAAGTGAACCTGTTGCTTTTGGTTCTGCTTCTGATCCACCAGCAGTCATTTGAGAGAAGCATGTTGAGGCTAGAACCACATAAATTATAGTTGATTGTGTACTGTTTATATAAATCTACATGAGGTTTTTCACATAGGTGTTTATTGAAGGACTGGGATACTCATTTGTAAAAAGTCCAGGTATATGTTCAGAAGGAAATCTTAGTGATGTTTGAAGAGAAGCTTGGATCTTTCCACGCATCCTGTCCATGGTTCTTTCCCTTCCTTCATCCCAAGCTGCCTAAGAGTCCACGGCTGTGCTGTCCAGACACCCCTCATCTATATGGAGGCATATGGTGGCTTCTCATAATGTGATCCCTGGATGAGGTTTATAATTGCCCTTGGATTAAGTGATGGGGCTGGAGGAGATGATCCTAGAAGTTGTAACAGCGCATTCAGAAGACACAAGCTCAGGATGTCATTAGTCTTTAATTGACTTTTATTAGATCTCTAATATTGCACAGCATCCTTCTTCAGAAGGCAAACTTGGCACTTCAGATAAAAACCTCAGGAATCTGAAAATCTGTGAGAAGCTATTCAAATTCCTGGAATAGTTTTGCTTACAGTCTTTTGTAGATTCTAGTACAAATCGTGCACTGAAGTGCTTTTAGATAACGCAGTATTCTTTTCCAAACAGATGCAATTTTGGTGTTGCAGCTGCCTTCTTTTTGCAAAGAAAGTCTGTCTTCAGGTGTTCTCAGGTACTAGGTTGTACTCTGCCTATGCTCTTGTTCAGAAGTGTCCAAAAATACACTGTGTAGAATGACGAATGAATGAACTCCCATTTTCCTGGTGAGATTCATGAATATTCAGACTGTTTCCGCCTGACCATACAGTGGCTATGAAAGTACTCTGATGGACACCCCACTGTTAGCTGGGCACTCAAGGATTAAACCAAGCTTTCCAGAGTTAGTTGTGATCTTGTCATGATTCCTAAAACACCTGGGAACGCAGGACAATATCTGTGTGCTGCCCCCATCCCTTACACTAAAGCAGGTTGCACAGAATTTGTAGTCAGAAGCAGAGAACTGTGATTTACTTGATAATGCTAATCTCCACAAATCACTTTTTACCAAGCAGCATTCTCACCACCAATGCTGGCAACGCTTTAGTTTTGTGTAAGAAACAAATTCCTTGGGGCAAAAATCCCCCTAGTGTTAGAGACAGATTCAACTTTAACTGCCCAGCAAGGTGTAGAAGGCCTTCAAACTGGTGAAAAGCTATCAGAGTGATGATTTCTACCCTTATTTGGCTGAAGAGAAAAAAAACACCTTCAAAATGATGCAGAATGACCACATCCTGGGAGAGTATTTATGAGGGAAATACAGGGATTTGCTTCAAGAACTGTAGGATCAATTAGGGATTAGAGGTTTGAAAATAACAAAATACTATGAAAACACAAAGCGCTGCCTTTTTTTCTGAGATTAAACAAGATCAGTAGGTTTGATTTGTTTGGAAAGTACCAAAAAAATTGATAGCCCTGACCCACTGCATAGCACAAAAGGCAAATATTAATTACTGTGTATTTATTTATTAATTATGTGCTTCTCTCAGTTTGAAAGCCTCTAGACTGTATTAAACATGTACTGCGGATTGAAGCTCAGGAATCTGAAGTTCTTTTCAAACAGGATTTGAATTTCTGACATTAGATAATTACTCAATAGAGTCATTAAAAATATTATTTTCCAAATTAAAATATCTTTTATTTGCAATCTGTAAAATACTGTTCCTTTATACATGGAGAAAATATAGACTGTTATAATCTGGAGAGGAGGGGTTGGAAGGCTTTCCAGATATTGTCTGCGTGTGATATATGTGTCTCTGAGGATCTGTTGCCTAGAAATGAAAACAAGACAACAATAATTGTTTACGTAGATGTTGCCTGAAAACTTCTCAGGCATTTATGCTCCCTCGGCTGGTTTTATGCCCATTTTTTAAATTGACAAGTGGGAGCTATTTTGGAGGGGGGGAAGAGGGAAGTCTGCAAAACAGTGTTTGTGATTTGGAGAGAAAATCATACAGTTCTAAAGGGAAAAATGAAAAACCCTCCCAATGCTACTTAAAAAGTTTTTTATTACCTTTGAAATCAAAACCCCATTTGGATGGTGTCCAATTAATTGCTTCTGATCAGCTTAACAAAACTGAGGTTCAGCTAGGAATAGTCATTCAGCCATGTGCTTTACTGACAGCTTTGAAAATGACTCAAGTAAGCTGAATAGATTGTACTTGGAGCTGAATTGTTACACTTCCATATTTTGTGTAGGTAATACACAGTTTAAAGATAATAATGGGTTTGTAATACTGGTAGTTCAGTCAAATTATGAGATACAGAACCATGGTTATCACTAGGGTGAGATTTGGGGTGTCTGTTTCTGTATAGAGAGAATCTCAGTGTGGGCTGTCTTCTGAGGACAGTTGTACTCACATATAAGCCATATATCCTTTCAACACCACATCACAATGCTCTCAGGCAGCTTGCTGCCTCTGGACAGATCACTCCTCTGTGCTGTGCCTATTTCCAAAAAGGGGATGACTTTCTTGATCTTCTGTGCCAACTCCTCTCGGTTCTCCTCTGCAATGGCTCCTAAGAGTGTACCAGCTTCCCCAGAAAGGTTGCCCAGCACTAACATGGGCAGTGCCTGAACTTTGCTGTGCTCTGTGGAGCAATCACAGCAGGTACCAGGCCCTCCCAGCTGCTCTAGAAGAGCATTCTCTCTGACGACAGCACCCCAAAACTCCCTGCTGGCTTGGAAGACACTGCCCCAGTGCTTATTGATGCTTTCAGTCTTTAGTGCATGGCCTTTAACAAATTAAATGGCAAGATTAAATTAGCATCTTATTGACAATTTCAAGTGAGAAATTGCCAAAGTGTGCAGATGCACAAATAAATGTTCCTTATGTTTATTTTACATATATTGGATTTTTTTCCCTTTGGTATCCGTCAGTCTTGTATTAAGAGACAGGAAAATCTGATTAACTTTTAGTATAACCTGCATTTTTTTTTTCAATTATGACAAAGTTGTTCCCTCTCTAGGTTAAGTAATACGACACTGAAAAAAAAAAGCTTAGAAATAGGATTAACCCTTTCCTCACCCCCTTTTCATCTCCCAGTATTACAGTATTACAGTTGCCAGAGAGGAACTGAAATGGGTCCATCCTTCCAGCATCGCAGCTTGTGTTAAATAAACACTCTAAACAGCATGAACTGGTGCAGAGTTTCAAAGGCAACTTTGAGGAAGGGGAAAAAAGGGAGAAATTATCTGCTATTTATTATCTGTTTATGTCAGACATGTCCCAAGCCCCACACACTGACTGAAGCTCATAGTGTGCAAAGACACAATTATATGGACATGCTGAGCCAGGGGATGGCCAGAGCTGCTCGCAAACTTCCCAGAGGCTGTGGGGCCACTAGAGGGATGTCTACAACCATCCTTCCACCAGCTCCTGAATCCCAAACCACCACCACACATAAAATCCTAGAATCATAGAATAGTTTGGGTTGGAAGGGACCTTCAAAGGTCATCTAGTCCAACCCCCTGCAATGAGCAGGGACATCTTCAACTACATCTCTGAGCAGCTGCAAACGACACTTGGCATCAAATAGGAATTGAAAATGCTGTAAAGAATGTATCAAAGGGCTGCTCACCATGGCCTAGGGAAAATATTTGGAAACTACCCATCCCAAAGGATGCAGCACAATGCTGGTGCACCACATAGTCCAAGTGAGCTAACCAGAAACCTTCTGGTTGAACAGTTTTCCACCATCAAATTCCAATCTGGTGGAAAGCAAATGGTTTCCCCCCAGCTCCCTAGCTGCTGCTTTCTTTCCAGCACACCAGATATGACCCATACAAGACCTTTTGACAGCCCGAGTTCAAGAACTCCCCAGTCTTGGAAGAGCAGGGGATTTAGGCCATGGTGGTACCAGCTGACTGACTTGGTGAGCTATGCAGCCGCAATACCAGTCATGGGGGAGTCTTGGGTAGCTGCTCAGAAAATTCTGAAATACCTCAATTTTGTTCTTTTGTGTAGTGAAATCTCTGTTCATGTGCTGCTCTGCAGGCTGAGGCACATCTAGTGCTTGCTTCCGAGCTGGAATTCTGTTCTGCTGTAACATTTCCTACCCTTTCAGCACCTACAGCTAGATACATCTTTTTTATTTATGTTTCCTACGGTTTAGCTTGTATCTCGTAGCATGGCATCATCTATTCAAATGATCGACATGTTAGCAGTATGCTTCGTGCAAAAAATACTTTTTTATTTTTTTTTATTAGTTCTAAGCTAGTTGACCAGAAAAGGATGAAAATTTAATAGTGCAGAGCTCCCCCCTCCTACAGGGACCAGCTTGGAACTGATGGGATGAAAGCAGATGAAGAAATAAGCATTATCTGTATATGCTATAACGGGCCTGGTGAACCCCAGAACAGCGTTAAGTCAGCCCTAATTTATTA